GACTATAAATTTATTTATTTTATTGATCTTTTCAAAGATGAATGAATTAGTTTCCTATTGCTACTTCAGTAAATTACCAAAAACTTAGTGGCTTAAAAGAACACAAATTTATTATTTTACAGTTCTGAAGGTCAGAAGTCTAAAATGAGTCTCACTGGGTTGAAGTCAAGCTGTCAGCAGGACTGATTCCTTCTGGAGACTCTGAAGTCTGCATCCATTTTCATGCCTTTTTTAGTTTCTAGAGGCCACTTGCATTCTTTGGCCCATGATCCCTCCCTGCATTTTCCAACTTTCATCACCCCTCCTGCTAATGACTCTGATATCCTACTTCCCTCTATAAGCATGTTTGTGATTACACTGGAGGACCCACCGGGATAAAACCCTTAACTCTTTTAGTAATCACACCTGCAAAGTTCTTTTTAATCGCATAAGGTAACATGTTCCCAGGTCCCAGAGATTAGGACGTGAACATCTTTGGGGGACCATTATTCAGCCTATTACTATTAACTTTTGATTTTATTGTTTCACTCTTTTGTTTGCTTAATTTCCTATTTTACTAATAATGTTGTCTCTATTATTTCCTTCCTTCTTTTTTGCTTTAGATTTAATTTTCTCTTTTTCTAATTTCTTAAGGTAGAAGTTTCGATCTTTGATTTGAAATATTTCTTTTTTAATAAAAACACTTAATGCTATTAATTTCTCCCTAAATACAGCTTTGGATACATCTCAATTATTTTGACGTATTGTCTTTTCAATTTCATTCAATCCAAAAATATTAATTTTTGTGAGTTTTTTGACACACGTTATATAAAAAATATATTTTTAGTTTATTTTCTAGATATAGTTCTCTTAATCTCTAATTAATTCCATTGTGTGCTAGTTTAATTTTCCTGCATGTTTTGATCCTTTTAAATTTATTGAGAGTGAGACGTGTTTTATGACTCAGAATATTGACAAATATTCCAGGTTTACTTGAACAAAGTATGTATTCTGTTGTTTTAGAGCAAAGTATTATATTAGGCCAATTTGATTGATAATGTTGTTTAAGACATCTTTACTCATACTCATTTTCTGTCTACTTTTTGTATCAATTACTGGGAGAAGTGTGCTGAAATCTTTAAGTGTACTTGTGAATTTGCTTTATTCTGCTTTTTGTTCTATAAGTTTTTGCCACATGGAGTTTGAAGCTCTATTACTAGGTAATGGATATAGTAACTATGTCCGTTTAGGATAGTTATGTCCTCTTGGTGAATTGACCACTTCATCATCTTATATAATGTCTCTGTCTATCCCTGCCAATAGTCTTTGTTGAGTTTTCCAAATATTATAAAAGAGGACCAGAAACTGGGAGACTGATCTAGCCTGGCTCATCACTTTAAAGGCAGAACATCACATATAAATTGTTTGTAAGATACATGCACTGTATCTTCTGCTTTGTAAAGTCTTGGACTAGTTATTGAAACCAAGCAATGAAGAAATTGTTCCATTTCCTATACTTAAAAGACTGACATATGAAAACATTCTCCTTTTCCTCTAATCACAGCCTTGCCTTGGATCCCTTTGTGTACTGACCCCAGAGAAGCTCCTGTATGTTTGTAGGGCTGGCACTTGCTGCCCCATATGTATAAAAACAGCTACTTGCCTGTAGATAAAATTTCCATTCGCTACAGGATCAAAACCCCATGGGACTATGCTTACTAATACCTAAGACCCAAAGCTGCCATCACAGTCCCATCACTCAAAAGCCCATCACACAACTGTAAAAATCAGCTATGTGGTGTGTCCAAATCCTATAAATCCAAAGTAAAAAAAAAAAAATCCTGTGACCCATCCTTATGCTTTCTCCTAAGGCCTAACGCCATCCAAACCTTGTGTGTTTGGCTCTCTGAATGCTACTGCTTATGTGTCTCTCAAGGTTCCTGGCTAGTATTCCAAACGTTGGGGAAAATAATGCTATTTGTTGGATTCCTTCAAACTCTGTCATCCTTCTGTGCCAATGCCAATCTTCATAATTGGTCACAGAGATGTGTAATAAGGCTCATTTCCCCCACATCCAGCCCCACACAGGCTTCAGGTGGTGGTGTTCGTCTTTCTACACCACCCACTCTTCTCGAAGTCAATATCCCTTGCTCTATTTCATAAGAAAAGAGGTTGCCAGTATCCTGGGGCAGTCACAAGAGTGGTAAATGTCCCATACAGGACAGCCTGGTGGCAGCTCAGCCTTGTCAGGATTTCAGTGGGTGTCCCTCTGCCGGATGAGCCACAGGCAGTGGGCAGGAGCAGCGCCTGCATGGTGCTTTGCCTCTCTAGGTAGTGGTGGCCCTTATTCATGCCTCTGTCCAGTCAGTTCCTTTTTATATGGCCTTTGGCTGCTTCCACAGTATGTCCAGGGTCACTGTTTGCTTCCCCCCGCCTCCATCCCATATGGCCCTCCGCCTAATCTCTAGTCAGGGTGGAAGGCATGGTTATTAATCTTTATTACAGCACCTCTATGTTCTGTTCCCCTCAGAGTCATCCCTTTTGATTCTTACTGACTCCTACGGGCCTAGTTTGGAAGTCAAACTAAAGAAAATAAACTAGATGAGAACTGTTTTTTTCTTTCCATCCAGATGTTCTGACTGACTGGAAGAAGGGTACGAGAGGTGTAGGAAAGTGTGAAGAGCACAGAGATTACTTTTTCAGAATCCTAGGTCAGTACAGAGACTTACCCACACTGCACCGAAAGGGTCTCAGAGACCTTCCAAAGATCTCCTCAGATGCCCATCCCATCAGAGTTGTCCCACCCAAGGAAAGCCATTAGCCATCTGAGTCTAGCCAAATGACAGTCCTGGTAGTTGGTTTAGTTGGCGGGACTTACAAGTTGAGGTGCTATGGCTGGGAGAGGAGAGGTGGCACCCAGACACACACTTGTTAGGAGCAGGGCTGGGACTCAACTCCAGGTGTCTCATGTTTAGTCCAATACACTGCACTCTCACCTGGGTGACTCCATAGGATCGGTTGGCAGCAAGCCCAGAGCAAGATTGAGATGCAGAGTGGAGGCCAAAGTGGGAGGATGCTTGCTTCTGAAATGAAACTGTCACAGGGAAGGAGCGGGGAGGAAGAGCAGGAGGGACCTAGGCCTGATTTTGCTCATATGTTAGTGAGCTGGGGTCTGGACACCTTTCTCCAAAAGAACTAAGTCTCAGTGGGGCTCTTTTTAGATGCCTTTTAATTGTTTCTCATTCAAAGCTATTTTCTAAGATCAAGAATTTTCCACCTACCTTTATAAATAGAATATAAAAGTAACAGAAAATTTAGGGGAGAACAACACAGCTCCTAGGTGGGGTGGAACTGTGTGTGGCGTGTGGCAGAGCTTGAGGCTGCAGCACACACTAAAATTCCAGCTGTCAACGTCATTCCCCTCCTGGGGAACAATGACTCTAGTTGACTGTAATAATATGATGTTTTAAAAATTGTTCAGCAGAGAGAGTGCTGTTTTGATGGGACTCTGAGGTAAACTCTTGGGTGAGTCAGAGATACAATGGGAAAAATTACCGGTGCTTGGGAGATTTTGAAATATTGGCCTTGCACTTATCCCAGAGAAAATGAATGCTTGATGTATTTTTCAAAGTAGATGAAGGACAAGAGTGGTTGTTTCCTCCCTGACCCCCACCCCCAGCCGACTTTTCAGATTCAAGGCTCACATGGGGAGTCATTCTGAGGGAATTTTGGCCATCTCTGCCAACTGTACTTATGGCTAGATGCCAAATGGTACCCTGAATAAGGATCTGGAACTGTGGCTGTCCTGAAGTGTCCTTTATCCAGTGACTGAGGCTGGATCTACACGGTTCAAGTGCAGTCAGGATTCAGTCACTCTCCAGTTACAGCACAGCCACTTCTCCCCCATCCCAACTCATACCATGATCTTTGCATTGATGACACTCCAGCCCCACTGGTCTTCTTGGTGTTTCTCATGCATGCCATGGGCATTTCCACCTGACAGCCATTGAACTTGCTGTTTGCCCTACCTGGAATGCTCTTGTCCGGATCTGTGCATGCATGGCTTTCTCTCATCATTCAGGCCACTCTTCGGAGGCCTCCCTCACCAGACATCCTAAAGGAGTTCCTCAGACCTTCCCCTTCCCATCTCCATGTCTTATTTTCTTCCGAGCAAGTATTTCTACTATTTTCTGATTTATTCATGCTTTTCTGTCTTTCTCCCCAGGAGAATGTAAGTCCTCTGGGAGCAGGAACCCTGGTTTACTTGCCCACTACTATGTTCCCAACACCTAGAGTTGCACGTGGCACACAGTAGACACTCAAGAAGTGTTTGTTAGAGAGCTGAGGAAAGGACAGTGGATGGGGAGGCCAGTTGCTCCACCCGTCCATAAGTAAGCACACATACTCACAGGCGTGCTGAGGGCCTCAGGGGAGGGCACCAGGGCATTAGCAAAGGCATCCTTCCACCAGGACTTCCGTATTAGGCCCGCAGTTGAAAGAAAAAAATTTAGGATTTGTGCTGATCGTCACATCTGTCATGTACCAATGACAGTTGACCATTAGCTGGTTTTCAAGAAAGTGAGGACAGCCACAGAGCTTTCTCATTTTAGGTATAGCAACTCTTTCCTCACTCATTTTTAATAATGATTTCTTTGCTTTTCTTTGAAGCTTATTAAAACTGGCGGCCTGTCCTGTTTGCAAGAGTTAAAAGATGGGTGTGGGGAATGTTGACAAGCCTCTGACTGTGCAAAAGGATGAGATCACTGGTCCTGGTTCTTTGCAAGATAATATAGTGGACTTTGTTAAGATTAAAGGCAATCACCATTTATGTGCTTTCTTTTCCAGGATTTTAGAGTGAGGGAAACCTCCCCCAGGGTCACCCAGTTCAACATTCCACCAACTGTGACACTTTTCATAACATGGTTAATGAATAATTGTCTGGCCTTTGCTAGAATAGATTCAACTACACCACAGGGCAGGCAGTCAATATTTTACCACTGAGAAAACTTTCCTAAGGAGACTTTCCAATTAAATTGATTCTTTATTTTTCTTTAAAACACCTTTTCTGTGGACAGTTGGTAGATATTTTTAAGCTTGAGATTTGGACCATATGGAGTAAAATATTTAGAAATGTTTAGAGCTATTTTGTCCCTTCTGAAAATGAGATTGAGAATAACCTGAGAGAAAATATAACACCATTGGCTTTCCCATTCATAAACACATTCTGCTTGGCATTTCTCAGACATTCTGTGATGTGAGGGAGCCTGGAGTTTATATTGTATTTGCACGTTATCCCACTGTGATAGGAAATTATTTCTCCTTGGCCAACTCTTATCATGCAGATTGCTCTAAAATCAGATTACAGCTGCTTGTTTTGATTGACTAGTTAGTTCTGCCTTTTAAAAATCACTTATATCTCTTATCAGTGTGAATAAAGCTAAGAATGCAATTACAACATTTACTTACAGGTTTCTAAGGGTGTTTTAACAAGAAGCTGAGAAGAAACAGCTCCTATATAAAAGTGAAGCAGAAACAAACTTCTTCACAATGATCAGTAAATCTGTCAAATAACCCAAGGAGATACAGAATAGTATTAAATTAAATGAAGTTCATCTTTACAGCACTGAGCAACCATTAAATGTCAGTTTATTCCAGGACCTGCAGGGGATGGAGGATGAATAAAACTTTGAAGTTTACACTCACGAGGTCCAAAGTAGAGGCCTGTGTCTCTGTCCATCCTCCCTTCAAGGGAAATCATGCAGTGTGTCTACTTCATATTCTGGCCAACTATAGTGGGAATTTAAGGGATAAGAGCGGGAGAGGCAGTGACTATCGGCATGTGTATCCTAGGCTCTGGGGCGGGACATTGTGATGTGAGTTCCAGTTCTGTACTTATTAGCTTTGTGACCTTGGGCACATTTTTTTAACCTCTCTGTATTTGTTTCTTTGTCTGCAAAATGGTATAACTATTTTTCTTGCAAGGTTTTTGAGAAGATTAGAGATCACATACGTAAAGCTCCCAGCTGAGGGTGGAGCTCTAGGTCTTCAGGGATGTGGCAGCCGCCAGGACTGGGTTGGTTTTTCCCTGCCAAGGGCCATCCTGTCCAGCTGCAGGCATGCTGGCTAGGCACACAGCCTTCAACGGTTCTTAAGTTTGTCTTGCTGGAAGGTGATCTTGGAGGATCTGTGCCAAGACAAGCTGCTGAGGCCTTTTCTGGCCCTGGGTTCTTCGGCAAGGGCTGCTTCTGTGCAAGGGAGACGATTCGGGGCCCAGGGCTGCGACTCACGCAGCGCAGACAGAAGCGCTGAGAAGGCGGGTGAGAGGAGGCCAGGGAAGAAAATCCTGGATAATGTGTTTAATTTGATCGGTTCCCTGGAGTCATTAAAATGAATCCTACCCTGGACTCTCAAATTCTTGAACTGAAACAATCAGTCCAACAGGCTTTTTTTTTTTTTCTGAAAGTAATGAAAGCATACTTAATGATGCGTTCAAAATCCTCAGGCCTGTTGAAATACTGCCCTCTAGTGTTCAGGAAAGGGCGCAGCCTCTTAGGGAAACTGCTTCACCGACCAGCTTGTTACCTGATATAGCTCCAAAGGAAAGCTAAAAAAAAAATGCAAGGCTGACCACAGATAACTCATCCAGTGTAAGGGGTTGAAATGGGGGTGCCGGGAGTCAAATTCCTATTACTGTGATAGAGAAACACAAAATTATCTGTCGCTCATTTTCAAAGGGACCCCACCTGAATTCAGAGGGAATTATTGACCTCTGCAGCATCCTCTTGCCAAGGGGGAAGAAAAATACTCGAAGTGACTGACGCTTGCCTCCCTGCCTCCCTTCCTCTAGCTACCTTCCATTTATACAGCAGCTACCAAAGCATCAGAATATGGACACAGGCAGTCTGAGTTCACGGCTGGCTTCACAATTTGCCATTTGTGCAAACTTGAGTAAGTGACTTAATCTCCCTGTGTCCCAGCTTTTTAAATCTATAAAATAGGGATAAAAAATTTACCTACCTCACCAGCATGTTGTAAGGATGTATTAGATGCTTGGAGTACATTTAAGGTACTTTGAACAAGCCCTTTCACACTGTAAACGCTTAGTAAAATAAGTGATTATCAGTCGCTATTGTATCCTTCTCTGTCTCAGGCTTTGTCCGCGGTCCTCAGGAGGCAGCTGGGAAGACAGGCACGGCCCCTGCCCTCATAAAACATATGTCCACAAATCTTGGGCTTCAAGCTATTAGGGATTTTACCTACTCTGGAGGGCAAAGAAGAGTAAAGCTCCCAATGTATATTTTTTAAAATCCAAGAGGAAACAATTCATGACAGCTGAAGAGCCCAGTAGGAAATATTGGTGCCAATTTTCACAGACAGAGGTAGAATTTCCACAGGTACCTTTCTGGATGCCTTGAGAACTTCTGCTTTTCTCAAACATCACTAATGAGATACAATTCTCCTTCCATTTCCAGAGTTTATCCACACCTTTAGCTAACGGGCAACATAAGTCTTCAGATAAGTCAAATGTGGAGTTACTTGAGTCATGCTGTCTTCCTCTACTTGAAGTTATATTCCTTTGCCTTTCAGAATTACAGTCTCCAGAGGCCCCTGCTAAAACACAGTGTTTTGCACGTTTATTATTATTCATTCATTATATGTTATTAGCCATTAACACCAGGTATGAGACTAATTTGTTAAGTCCTTCCTAACTTAATGGCTAAATTCAGAAACATTCAGAATGAGTGCACCTTTTAAAAACTTTTCCCAATTTAAAAAATACTAAATGCTCATTGTAGAAAATATGATAGAGAACACCCTAAAGAAGAAAATTATCCCTACCACCATGAGATAACTAATCTTAACACTTGATTCTTCTTTCCAGCTACATAATTATAGACTTATCTATGATCAATAGGTCAGCTAGAGTTACATGGATTTTGAGGTCTGGATAAAATGATGCAAACCTCAGTTCACTCCTTGTAAAAGCCCAAAGCCCTCCCTTAAATTTCTGCAGATTGATAAGGAGTTTATTTTCTCATAGTCAGTTCTTGGTTCCAGCTTCTGCCTCCATAAATGTTATCTCTGCTTATTGTCAGATCTTCCTCCTTCCCCAAAACACACATTTGTGCATGTGTGAGTGCATGCACAAGCACACATGTACACACACACACACACACACACACACACACACAAAACTGTTATATTTGTGCCTGTGGTAACTGAAGACCAGAGAGTGAAAGTGTATATTGCAGCATACAGCTTCAAATAAAACATCAGCCAGGCCTTCCTCACAATGTCATTTGGCCATCCCCATTGCCAGAGGAACCCCACCAGCCATCATATGCCCTACTGTCCTCAGCCTGGGAATACCTCTGGGCTCTCTTTCCCTGTTTCTGGGCTCAAGCAGAGAAATTTAGCCACTGCCTGCTGCTTCTTATACTCCTACCAACTCTTCACCCTCAGGCCTTTCCTTCTAAGTCAAGTGCCTCTATCAAGTTATTTTCTAAAGCAGAACAGTTTCTCCCTAAAAGAAATGTTGCCATTAGTAGTTAAAATAATAGAATTTCTACTTCTATTACATTTTTAATGCTGTGTTTATCATAGTATTATGTTCCTTTTCAAGTAAACAACATTATGAACATGTTACTGTGTCAAAAATTATTTAAAAAATATCTCACATATTACATCATCAAAATGAGTAAGTGTTCTTGGAGGAGGGGGCAGGTGAGGAGCATAACGGACATGAGAGGGGGCAGGCTTGTATGGCACCCTAGGACTGAGGTTAGTTATTACAGGACATAGTGTTCCTATCTCCCCTGGAAAAAGGAACAACATATTACAAAAAATTGCTGCAGAAACAAGAAGCAGCCTTGGAATATTCCATAATTTAGCTTAGGCTAAGCTCTGTTAAGGGATGGGACTAACATTATCCTCAGCATAGCTTTTGCTGAGACACTAGAAATTTAGAACATTCCGAATGTGATTGAAGCAAGAGATGGAATAATAAATCCAATTTCTTTAAGGTAATGATGCATCAATTACGATCTATGCTAATATACCACACAGGGTACACAGTTGGAAATAGACACAGTGAAGATAGAATTCTGGAAATGGTGGCGCTTACCTAGCTTTTTACAGATTCTGAGTACTAGAATCTTCGTATCCACAAAATCCCTCCTAAATGTGTATTTATATAATACACACAAACCCTTAAAGAAGGGTTCTTTAAGTCAAGGCTTTATGAAGATAACAGGGCCCTTGCAAGAAATTAGACCCATATAAAATTTACTATATAAACAACAATGTATTGCAGTGAATCGTGATCCCATTCTGCCTCAGCCACCAGGACTGCATGGGATGCTACCTGGCACAGGTAAGGATGGAGTGATGACCTTTCTTTGCTGTGTCTCATACTGTTCTTGCCCCTGCCATGGATTGGGATGTAAGCTTGCTTCAAAGCCGTATTAAAATCAAATTTCAGAAATGTTTGTTTTATATATTTTTTCGTTGTATCCTTTAAGCAATTTGTATGAAGGGGGTCAGAGACAATTCCTCAAAAATCCTTCTTGATCTGACACTTTTTAAAAAACCCACAAACTTATCTAACCATTGCCTTGGTATCCTCTCCTTGTATCTGTCCCCTATTCTATGTTCTTGAATTTCTGAGGCAAACTCTCCATTTGTGTTCTGTTTGGTGACTCTCAGTCACCCCTTTTGAATCCAATGCTGTGGCCTGTCCCTGGATTTCCAGTCCTTTGTCTTGGAACTTACTTTCACACCCCCATTGCTGTACGTCCATGCACACAGGCCAGCTCTATGCCTTTTCCTCCTATTTTGGTTAGCTATGACTACATAGCAAACCACCTCCAAACTTCATGGCCCAGGACAACAGAAGCACTTATTTGTTTATGATTCAGTGGTTTGGGCAGATCTCAGCAGGCAAAGCCTGTCTCTGTTCCTGTGTGGTCAGCTGGGACAGCTTGACTGGAATTGGAGGACCCACTACCACATTGACATTCCTCACGTTGTTGGCAAGTTGGTGTTGGCTGGCGGCTGTGATCCAGCCAGGGCTGTCAGCTGGGGGCTTGAGTTCCCCTCCCCGAGGTCTCTCCATATGGCAAGGTTGGGCTTCTCGTGGCATGGCCATTCTAAGAGAGTTGGACTTCTTCCATGGAAGCTGACTTCCTCCAGAGAGCAATAGCAGAAGCCGCCAGGCTTCTCAAAGTCCCAGAACATACATTTCACCATGTTTCATTGCTCAAAAGAATCACAAGTTCGGCACAGATTCAAAGGGAGAGAGAACAGACTCCCCTCTTGATGGAAAAGTGGCAAGTGAGAGAGGAGATATTGCTGAAGCTATCTTTGGCAATACAATATTCCATACACACTGACACACCCATGCCCTCTCCATGCCCAGCTCTAACTTTCAGAACTCCAGCACAAAAATGAGACTCATGTGCCTTTCTATGTCCAGAAGGGATTTTGGACAGAAAAACTTTACTTCAGTATACTGGGAATATGCTATCTAATTTATTATGAAAATGGCTGTGAAAGATACAACTCTTTGTCTCTCTGGGCTGAGCATTCTGGGACCATGTGCTTTGGCATCATCTTTTTCCACTATTAACCTTCTCCTTTGCACTGTGGTACCCATGTGGGGTGTTTTAATTCCCCTTTTCAAATAGAATCAGTTCCTGTTTGCACACTGAACTAAACATGGATTTTCTATTGAGCTATACCATGACTTATAACACCTGCAAACAGAAGGTGGGGCTGACTGCCGACCACAGGTCCCCAGGGCCCAAGCCTGTATATGGGCATGCACTTAATTCTCTAAAACCTTTTTTACTATATTTTATAGGTTATATACATCAAGAATTCCATCAGGCTTGACCGAGTAATTCTTTTACCCTCCTCTTCTTGCTCCAAAGGCATCAGTGAGGTCACTCTGTGGTGTTCAGCTGGCAGATGGCCTGGTCTAGAGAGTCACAGGTGGGGTTATTCATATGTCTGGTGCCTTGGCAGGGATGGCTGGAAAGCTGGGCTCAGTTGGGACTGTCTACTGGAGTGCCCAACTGCAACCTCTCTAGCACAATGGGCTCAGGCTAGTTGGACTTGTTACATGGCAGCTGGCTGCCCCCACTGCTCCCCACCCCCACTCCCTGCAAGTGTTCCAAGAGAACCAGACAATAGCTGGATGCTTTCTTACATTTAGACTTAGAAGTCACATATGCCCCTTTAGCCACATTCTTCTGGTTACTAGAAAGTCACAGGCCAGCCCAGGTTCTGGAAATGGTGGTGCTTACCTAGCTTTGTATGAAGATAACAGGGCCCTTGCAAGAAATTAGACCCATATAAAATTTACTATATAAACAACAATGCATTGCAGTGAGTCCTGACCCCTTTCTGCCTCAGCCACCAGGACTGCATGGGATGCTACCTGGCACAGGTAAGGGTGGAGTGATGACCTTTCTTTGTTGTGTCTCATACTGTTAAGGGAAAAGAACTGGACACATCTCCTGCTGGGGACGTGATAAGGTCCTGCTGTAGAGGAGCTGATTGGATCTGAGGCACTGTTGCTGCCATTTTTGAAACATGGTAACTTCCCACAGCTGGCTCAGACCTTGGCAAAAGAGCAGTTAAATGAAGCCTGCCTCTCCATTCCTGCTGCTCTTGCCCATGTTTCTCCCTCTTTTGTTGTTCTTACCTTTAGATTTCACTATGATCCCTGGTAACCTCCCTCCCCTTTCCCAGCCTCAGAGTCTACCTCACTCTCCCGATGCTTCCTCCTTTACAGAACTTACCTATTTTATGTCCCATTTTCTCCTGACCCCATTAGATGCCTGGATACATCACTTTGTAATAGAGAGAACACTGAACTGAAAAGCCATGTCCTGATGCTTCCACTAATGAGTGGTGTTATCCTAGGTAGTTCATAACTATTGCAGTTTTCTTATTTACACAATGCGGGGGTTTGGGGGACAGGATGAAACAGTCTTTAGTATCAACTCTAATCATTTCTAAATCTAAACTGAGTTAAGAAATTAATGGATAGCAGCAGAAAATCATTTAGCCCCACTGAAAATATCCACTCAGCACCTACCTTAAAGAATTCTGGGTCACTACAGACTATAAGAAAAAAAAGTAAGACAAAATCCTTAGTCTTGCAGGATCAGAATATTCATTGGCAGACACAAATAGAGGAAAAGTTAACAGAGTTAGGAAGAATGCCACTGGATGACAGAGCATGATTCATTGCAAATAAGTAATCGAGGAAGTTCATGTTCTGGGTTCCTTCAGTAATGCAATTGTCCATTGAACAAGAAGGTGGCTTTGGAGGTAAGACACATTTTAACAGGGTTTTTATTTGTTTTTATGTACATAGCTAAGCCAAAGGAAGAGACTGTATGAGGATGTGGGCTACAGTGTTATGACCAGCAAATGACATATTCTGGCTGAGGGAAGTATAAACTCATCCAGCAATGTGACATACTGCACCTGTAGCCAGGCACCCCAGGAAAGCCATGTTCTGTACAGAAGTCCATAGAGGAAAAAACTTTTGAGAAATATTATTTTCCTTTCCACTCACCCTGAAGTGAGAAAAAATGTCAGAGACCTGCTTCATTTGCTATGCCTGCATTGGCTCCAAGTATTTGTGACAGAGGGAACAGCAGTGTACAAGCTAGCTGGAGGTTTTTCCATCAGAACCCCATTCTATGCCTTCCACTATAAAAATTTAAATAACAAATCATGTCAGTGAGGGAAAACAATGCCCATTTTCAGTATATCTGCCAGACTGACTTTGGCATCCTTAAAGTTAATCTAAGAAAGAACATCCAGGCAGGCATTTGAGCTTGAGTTTTCTCCAATGTGAGTGACATGCAGTGGTATTATACAGATGTCATGACCAAGTGTGAGTGGGTCACCAGGCCTAACTCGATGCCAGCACTTAGCAAATGCTCAGTGAAGGTTTTGCAACTGTGCGCTGGAGTTTAGACACTTTCTCAGGAAGTTATGTGAAGACTAAACTTCATTTGGATATAAGTGGGGTGAGAGAAAACCAAACTTAGGCCAAGACAAAGGGGTCAAGCTATTACAGAGAAGGAACTACTGTCACTGTCCAGAGTTACACCCAACTGGAGGAAAGCCCTCCTCAGTTGTCTCTGACCACCCCAGTTCCCAGCCATCTGCACCCACAGCAGGCGAATGCTATGCTGGGGCATGACTGGGCAACAGTGGGCATCTGCAGGCTCTAAGACAAGTGTGGCAAGAGAGAGCTTGGTTCATTCACTGGGACCTAGTCGCATAGGAGGGGATGCAATGCCACAGAAGGGACACAGAATTCACATTAGTTGAATTCCACATGTTGAACCATCCTTGCAGCCTAGGGATAAATCCCACTAGGTCATGGTGTATGATGCACATTGTATACCTTTTAGAGTTGCTGTTATCAGAAGGTCAAAAGATAAATTGGTGAATATGTGGAGAAATTTAAACCCTTGTACACTGTTGGTGTGGAAGTAAAATGGTACAGCCACCATGAAAGACAGTATGGAGGTTCCCCAAAAAGTTAAAAATAGAACTGCCATATAACTCATCAACCCCACTTTGGGTATAGATACAAAAAATTAAAATGAGAATCTCAAAGAGATATCTGCACTCCATGCTCATTGCAGGATTAGTCATAATATTCTAGATATGGAAATAATCTAAATTGTATTGATGGATGAATGAATTGAAGAACATGCAGTATATATATTAAATGGAATATTATTCTGCATTGAAAAAAGAGAAATCCTCCCATATGTGACAACACAGATGAATCTGGAGGACAGTATGTGAAGGGAAATCAGTTACTCAGAGAGGGCAAGACCGCCTGATTTCACTCATGTGAGGGATCTAAAATCGTCAAACTCATAGAAGCAGAGAATGGTGACTGGGGGTAGGTCTGGGCAGGGATAGATAGGAAGTTGTTGCTCGGTATGTAAAAACTTTCAGTTGTTCAAGATGAATAACTTCCTGAGATCTGCTGTGCAACACAGTTTCTATAGTTAATGATACTGTATTGTATTGTGCAATTAAAAAATGTAAGAGGTTCTATCTCATGTTGTGTTCTTACCTGCAGAAAGAAGGGGCGGGCACCAGGAAATCTTTAGGGGTGATAGATATGTTTACCACCTTGATTGTGGTGATGGTTTCACAGGTGTATGCCTATGGCTTAACATTAAATTGTATGCATTAAATATGGGAGAGGTTATTCATAAATCAATTATATTTCAGTAAAGCAGTTTTTAAGAAAAGGAAGAAGACTTAAGCCACTAGAAGACTCTTAAAGAAACTGCACCAGAAATACCTTTCTTACAGAGAACTTTTTTTTACTGATATTTTTCCAAAGCAAGCATAGGTATTTCAGGCCAATGTTCTGGTCTTTCTGCTATTTCAGCTTAAAATCCCTCCTTTTGAAAATCACCTCGGTACTGCTAGCTCAGCTGTGGCGCTTCCTCCCAAAACCTGAAACTAATGATGTGGCTTGACTTGCTCAAGCCCTTAAGCTCAAAGATACAAATCTTTGTATAGCAAGATTTTGCTATCAAAATCTATATGAATAGTCTATTTTGTTGCTTCTTTTCTACTTTAGTAATTTCAGGGATTATTTATCTGCAAAAGAATAAAGGACTTGAAATAATAAAATGATATTTAAATAATAAAGATGGCTTCTTACTATCTTTTTGTTTACAAGTCATATGTGCTTTTGTGGAAGATTTATAAAACATAATAAAGTACACGAGAAAAAATTACTTGACTATAAGCCCACTGCCATGAGAAACATCACTGTAGACACTGTAATAGTTTTTTTCAATGAAGTCAATCTGTACTTTTTTGAAATATGCTTTTGTTTTTCACTCAGCAGCATATAGTGAAGGGCATTTTCTGGCAACAACTAAACATACACCCTGTTTTCAGTCCCGAGTCAGAATGTTGCCTTTTGGGATATTAAAAAAAAAACTGTTTGGTTAACAGGAAAATCAAAAGTAAATTCAACCCAATAACATAATTTTGGGGATGACATTAAAAATGGCTTGTATGTTTTATTAATATAATTGACTATTATTAACCATGGTCTTTGAATTATTTCAATATGGACATTTTTGTTATCTTCATTTTCTTTGCATTTGAACAGTTCTAGTCAGCCAGTCTGCATAATTAGGCATTAGGATAATTAACACTAGTTTCCATAATAATCTTTAAATTATTATTCTAATATTATAGTATCTCCAATCAGAGTCTTAACACAATAAAAATTTCTTTCTTGATCATGCAATATTTTATAAAGTGTAGATAACTGCACTCCTTGGCTCTACTACAAGCAATACCTAAGGGATATGTGCTCATTCCATTTAGTGGTTATTCCATCTGGAACATGTGACCATGGAAGGAGAAGAAAGAGTGGCAAGAGTAGGGAATCATCAGGTGGGTTTATGTCAACATGGAAGTGGTGCACATGAATTCTTCTCACATCTGACTGTCCATAATTTAGTCAAATGGCCTGAACCTGACTGTGAGGCAGCCTGGGAAATGTAGTCTTTTTTTGTGCCTGTAAAAAAGAAGCTGATTGATAAACATCTAACAATCGACAGGACCACTTACAAATGAGCTGTTCCTTATGATTCCACCTTAACATCATTTGTTGCTTCCAGCTATCATATGGCTATTCGTTGTACAACCAATTGGATTCCATAAATCTCTCCTTGATGGCTAAAACAGCCAGAACACAGTGTATGGAAACACACACACACACACACACACACACACACAGCACCCCCACACACACTCTCTCTCATTGCTAATAGCATAGTTGATTTGAGTATATTAGTAATAGATGTTTGCAGTAAGCATTGTCAGAAACTGCTGGATGTTTTACTTCCATTCATTAACTCAATTGATCTTCACAGAATTATGTCAGGCAGGCATTAATTATATCCTCATTTTACAGATGAGGAAATGAAACTTGAGTAAAATAAAGTGCTCAAAGTCGCACAATGACATAGTAGCAGGCCTGGGACCTATCCAGGTGCACTTGGCTCTAGAACCTATGCTACTAGCTCCTGTACCGTACTGGCATCCTGTTTGGAAAGACACTGCC